TTTCAAGAGACCAGGAACGACGTTTCGTGATCTCGCTTCGTCTGCATTAGCGGTGCAGTGAGAAAAGGGAGTGTGAGTACAGTTAGTCGTAGAGGTAGGAGAGACATTAGGGGGTGTAGGAAGGATTTGATTTTGACCAATTTGGTCTCGCGTGCTGTTACGGGTATGAGGGCGGTTGTCACTTCCCGGCTGCCCACACCGTGGAAGGTTGTTTCTTGAGGGACCTGAAAAGGAAGATGGATTAGTGTTGGTGCGTGACCGCAGAGCCCAAGGGACAACTGCTTGAGGCCGGTCACGCACGGCCTTTTTATGAAAGGTATTTAGAGGATTAGCTCCGTTCTTAAAGGCCCTTAGTGGGCACCCTTACCCAGGGAGACGGAAATCCGTGAGTTAGGGGGAGTGTGACATTTTTAGGGCCGACCTTTTCTAACCCTTCCTTCCTTGTGAGAAGGCAGCATCGCTGCAGATGCTGGTTGTCCGAGGGAAACACCTTACTGCTGTCACACCCCTCTGCAGTCAGCAGTACGACTTCGCCCTCAGACCTTGGGTAGCTGCTTTTAGTCTCATCGTTCTCCAATCGACCAGCCTGGCATGGTAGGACCTGCAGGAACATATGTTCCAGCCAGTATAGCTCGGTTGGGTCATCACGATAGGCAAGCCCGACCACCACGTCAAGGTAGCAGCTTCGGTCGGGGTTAGCACCTCTACCTTTGTCTTTCTAACCTTATATCACTGAATTTAACTTTTTGAATAATATCTTCGAACCCTAGTCTTCTTCATTACCATTAATACCCCTACTATCTTTATCACTATGGGATTTGATTTGACATTTTCGTCTCTGTGCTCATGTGTTGTATGGCAACATGAACTTATGTACATACGTACGAAGTTCTTACGTTGCAACCGACTGACTGACTGTTACTTCAACTACTCTGAGATTGCCTTGATAATTTTATCTCTTTATGTTAATATAGCATGGCAACTTAAACCGATACATGCGTCAGGTTCTGCATTGTACCTGACTGACTGATTCAGCTTTAAGCCACAGTTTTAATGATAATACCTGACAATACCTGGCTACCTTAAATAAAGTAGCTAGCTACATTAAATCTCAAACACCTAACACTGTCTAGAGTTTGATTATTCTAACTGCTAGTAAAATTTTTTGAAAAAAAGGTCATCAGATATGGTTCAGAATATGATCCAGTATAAGCTTGATGTATTCTTTTATTCTTTTCACTGAAAACAATTGAATGTAACAATAAATATTTATATAATCTAGCTTTGTCTTATGTGCTAGTTTGAATGACACCCTCTAATACTTCTTAGTTTCGATTCTTATCATGTAGTTTTATTCATTATATTTTTCTGAACAATATTACCATTATGGTTTTGTGCTACATATATCTTGACACACCCCCCCCCCGTCTACTGTACTAAGTATTTTCCTTTTTGCGATAATTATCAAAATTTTATTACTTTGTGAAGGTTCTATGACAAATGCAATTGCTCACAGTCTATAATTTTAGTTAAAAAAAATTCTGCAAAACAAAAAAGTCAGCTTCGATTCTTGTGTAGTATTGTGGTGGTGTGAGCTACTTATAAGTAGTATATGACATGAGTGTAAACGTAATGTCTGGCAGCAAGCAGAAGATGGGGGAAGATCAAGCGAAAGGAAGAAGAGTGGGAACACAATGGAATTTGTATGAAACGCATGAATAATGACAATGTATTGATGTTGTTTGCAACAGGAACAGTCCAGTTCGATAGGATGGACTGATAATTTGCAAATGAACAATTTACGATATGGTTTTCCAATTTTATTGAGTGTAACTGTGTAATTTTCGTTAAATACAACCCGGTTGCCCTCACCTGTATTCTCATTCACTACAGTATAATTTAAAAATGTATGCTCAGATATGCTTGTTCATTGTATAATAAATAATACCCTGATTGTCTTTAATATTATCTTCCCTTATTTCATGTATGTATCAATTTTTTTTTTATTCAGGTGTTTTACCTAAAAGTGAAACGAAAAATTCCGGTAAGATTATATGGTCGTCCGTTTAATTTCATGCATATGTCTTCCATTATTGCTGGTCTAATAATTCGCTACCCTTTTTTGGCCTAGAATTCTTTCCTTTTTTTCGATACACTGTTAGTTATATGCTTGTGCTGCATGTGCCTAACCACCACCGACTGTCTCATCGAGCTATATTTTGCGATGTAGGAGAGGAATAGATTGGACGAAAGCTAGGGGCGACCAGATCAAAACATGGCACAAATCCATAAAGTCATCACTGACAAGTGGACTGTGAGCCATGTCGGTAGGTAGGTGTCAACTAACAACTACCTACCTGGTTGAGGTCCGCGAGATGGTCGTCTAACATTGATCAATTCATGGTTTCAAAAAAAAACGTGTAACTTAACAATCTTCACAACAACCCCGTAATGCAAATTACCTGTGCTCACTAGTGACTAGCTTCGTGAGGAGAATCTTCTCCCATGAGTTCTAGTGGGAAGTCGTGACCAGTGTGAGTTCAACCTGTTCAGGTGTAGACAGTAACTACTACCGAAGACTGTGTATGAGGTTGTGCAACTCTGTGAATTTGATCAAGTTAGACATTAACACCGTTAGATACCGGCTCAGTGGTCTAACGGTTAGGGCGTTCGCGCACAATACCGAAGGTCCTGGGTCCGAATCCTGCGCGGTACAGGAGTCGTGGATGCGCACTGCCGAGGAGTCCCATACCAGGAAGAGACGGCCGTCTTTCAGTGCTTCCAGGTTTCTCTAATGGTGGTCTAACATTGATCGATTCATGGTTTCAAAAAGTTTGTAATCTCATATATTTCGAAATATTGATTCAGTCATTCTGTGCATATATTCTTACATCTAATATAACATCACTTTTTTTTTGAAATAAATTCACAAGTAAATAAAAAAAATAGTATTCACATACATACACCATGATTAACTTGTTTCTGCGTGTGTTTAAATATTCAATATGATAAAATAAAATGATTCAATAATCAATTCTTCCTTCAATGTTTATTACATAAAATATATACATATATTCAATCGTAGGTGACGACAGTACAGCAAGCAAAGATATGGTGTTGAAAGCACAAGTGTTAACCGGTGGTCGTGGTAAAGGTACTTGGGATAGTGGATTAAAAGGAGGAGTTAAAATTGTATACAGGTAAGTTGAATTGTTTTTCTTATGAATTTATCGTTTGCATTATCGGGTTGTGAAGATTAGTAAGTTACACATTTGAAATCATGCATCGATCAATGTTAGACCATCATTAGAAACCTGAAAGCACTGGACGGCCGTTTCGTCCTGGTATGGAATAATTCATCAGCAGTGTGTATCCACGACTCCCGCGCGTCGCAGGATTCGAACCCAGGACCTTCGGTCTTGTGCACATCTGCATGCGATCCACCTTGCTTATCAACGATGCTACCCAGATATGTAAAGGTTTCTACATATTCGAACGACAGATTCTATACAAGGCTTTAAATGTTCTCTCAAGATCAATATTGCAACCTTCATTAGAATCTTTATTTAAATCTGAAAAAATAGTTTTACAGTAGTTGGGTGTCGAGGAAACGTAAAACATTAAAAAAAGAAAATTAGTTGTAAAACTCTCATCGACAGAATTTAAAATAAAACTAGCGTTTAGCTTTGCAGTCTGACCTAAGCTTTTTCAAGAAAACAACTAATCACAATCATGTGCTCACTGGTTACCAGCCTCAAGATGTATTCTTGGAGTTCTTGTGAAGTTCATCTTGTGTTGGGTGTCAGACAGTTATCCATCGCATGCAATGAATTAAGGTCGAGCAACAAGATCTTGGATTACTTGAAGCCAGGCTGTTAGCACCATTAGATGCCGTTTCAGTTTGGAGGTTAAGTTTCCGTCCAGAAAACTCAAGATCGTAAGTCAATCCTCAGGTACGGAGAGTCCCATACTAGTACGGAACGATCGTCCAATACTTTCAGGTTTTCGATGGTGGCCCATGTAATATCAGTTCGTGCTTTCAACTACAAAAGTACGATTTCTTACCCTCTGCTTTTATCGAATCATTATTTGTTTCTGTTAGCTTTAATCGATTTTTCGATGATCTATACGAACTACACAGGTTCAAGCTCCCCGTTCCATCTACTCTCAACTACATAGTTAGTTAGTATCCTTAACTTAGATAAAATAGATACGTTTAAAACTTGATCTCCTTCTTAGAAATATTGTATATCGTATCTCTGAGATGAGAATTTAATAGTGTTAAAGTTCACTGTTAGAATATTATAACTTAACTTATTGCTAAGCAATTCGAAAATGTCAACTAAATAGTACCCTGTTAGGGGTACATAGATGGAATAAAGCATGACTGCGTCAGCTGCGCGCTGATTGGCTAATTTCCTATCCAATCAACGCCTGATCGATTCTTTAAGAACAGGGTGAAAAATTCTCGTACTGTTAGTTGCATGCTGATTGGCTAAATCTAATCCAGTCGATCACGTGAATTTCTATCCAGAAGCTTCCCATGTAAATGCTATAAATAAACTAACGTTGTATCTATTTTTGCCTTCGCCATCACCTTTGGCTTCTTATTTCCATTTAACCTTGCTATTTGGAATATAATCTTTTCCTGTCCAACCGTGTTTTTGATTCTTGGGAACTTGTCCAGTGTATTGTGGTCAGAGAGTACTAAGCAATGGGATTTAGCTGGGAATTATCTAAGCAAGCATTACAACATACCCAAAACTTAGTACAACCTATAATACGTAACCACTATCAGTAGACTTAACTCAACTGTTCTTCAACAATTTCCTTAGATATTGCTGTCCGTAATCACAGACTGTTGAGAAAACTAGTCTACAAAGAATACATATATCGGATGAAAAAATAACATTACAGATTTATTTTTTCAAATGATTAATAATCACGTTTAATTCATGATAACTCAAATTTCGAATTACATATCAAAACTATATGACAAATTTTCCAGTTGCATCTTATACCTCAACCTCAATAATTATCTTATTGAATTAGCAAATAGATAGATAATTTCAATTTTTGATCATCTCTCTTATTGTGGGGCGCGCTACTTATAAGTAGTATATGACGCGAGTGTAAACGTAATGTCTGGCAGCAAGCAGAAGATGGGGGAAGATCAAGTGAAAGGAAGAAGAGTGGGAACACAATGGAATTTGTATGAAACGCATGAATAGTGAGTGAAATGTCAGACAATGGATTGAAGATTTGCAAATTACGCGTTTACGATATGGTTTTCCTATTTCACTGAGTGTAACTCTGTAATTTACGATTAAATACAATTCGGTTGCCCTCATCACCTGTGTTCTCCTTCCTCTACATTATAATTAACATTTCAGTGTAGAAGAAGCTGTTGATGTAGCTAACCATATGCTTGGTCATCGAATCTACACTGCACAAACTGGTAGCGCTGGTCAATTATGCAATAAATTATTAGCTTGTGAACGTAAATATCTTCGACGTGAACATTATCTAGCTATTGTATTGGATCGTTCAAGTGGTGGACCAGTAATGATTGGTTGTCAACAAGGTGGTGTAAATATTGAAGATATAGCACGTGATAGTCCAGATGCATTAATTAAAGTAAAGTTTGTAATTAATTTTTGTTGGGGCCACAGTTTTGGAGGTTTGCGTTTTTTTACACATTTGAAATCATTAATCAATCAATCAATCATTGTTACTGGACCACCATTAGAAACCTGGAAGCACTGCAAGACGGCCGTCAAGTCCTGGTATGGGACTACTCATCAGTGGCAGTGCGCATCCACGACTCCTGCTGCGCCTCGCAGGATTCGAACCCGGGACCTTTGGCATTGTAGGCGAACGCCTTACCATCGGACCACTGGGCCGGCCGGCATCCAACGGTGTTAATGTCTAACTCTGATTGATCTAGGGATTTTGCGCGACCAGTGCTTCCAGGTTTCTAATGGTGGTCTAACAATGATGATTGATTGATTGATTTCAAATTATTTTTGTATTCAGTTGGATTCTATTGGATAACATATTGATAATTTAAAGTGGAAAGTATCCCTTGTTTTGAATTTCAATGGAATGTGACTAAAGAGTCAGTCTCAAGTAGAATGAGACACACATCTTGGATTTCATTACTAGATATAATCTGCCTATTCTGTAAATACTTTTGGAAAATGTCAGTCAGTCAGTTACAATGTGGAACTTCTTACATATGTATGTACATTACCTGAAGTTGCCATACCACATTAGCACAGAGATGCAATGGTCAATTCAAATCTCATAGTAGTAGAGGTAGTAGTGTGGTGCGCGCTACTTATAAGTAATATATGACGCGAGTGAAAACGTAATGTCTGGCAGCAGTAGATGGGGGAAGATCAAGAAAGGAAGAGTGGGAACACAATGGAATTTGTATGAAACGCATAGTGAATAGTGAAATGTCAGACAATGGATTGATGTTTTGCAAATTAACGGTTTATGATATGGTTTTCCTATTTTACTGAGTAACTCTGTAATTTTCGCTAAATACAATTCGGTTGGCCTCACTTGTGTTCTCCTTCACTACAGTAGAAGTATTAGCTGTGATCAAAAAGATTAGGGATATAAGACATTATTCAAGAAGTATAATCCGATGAAATAAATTTTTTCTAAAATGGAAACATTAAAGATGATGAGGAATTCCGAAAATTAGGATTTGACAGAAGACAAAGAATGAATGCACCTGCGACATTGAAAACGATTGTGAGCTGCATCATTGAAAGTGTAACGATCGCCTCGAGGACTCCAACCTGGTAGTTTACACCTACCAACATGGCTCAGTCTAGTTTACAGTGACTTCATGGATTTGTGCTATGTATTGATCTAGCCCCCCCCCCCTAACATTCTTTCTGCCTACCCCTACACCACAAAACATTACTCGTCGAGGCAGTCGGTTGTTGGGCATACATAACACACGTCCCAACCACTTCAACTGGTGAAGTTTCACTACTTCATCAATTGATCTATGATCCTAACCTAGTGCCTGTTTCATAACGACAACATTGCTAACTTGATTGTCCCAGGATATACGAGCAATGCTTCAAAGACAGCTACGATTAAAAACCAGTAACATACGAATATCCTGTTTTCTAACTGGCCATGTTCCATATCCATACAATAGGACGGGGCGAACTGATGCGCAATAGACTCGTCCTTTGGTTAGCAGACAGATATCTCGCCTACACCATAAGTAACTCAAGTTGGCAAAAACCAGTCCGAGCCTTTTGTATAGATTCCAATGACCGTTTAGTGTTGAATAAAACTATGTGTCTGTAGTCTCGGGCTGTAGGTGTCGACTACCTGGTTGGGGTCCGCGATATGATAGTAATCGGTCGTTAGAGACCCTTAATGACATGGGTCAAAACCGTTTGCAATGGCGCTGGTGCATCCACTCTTTATGTTCTATGAAATTCTAAGCTTCTGCATTCTTCATGATATCTACCTTTCTCCTTCTAAATTTATCTTACTGAATTATACTTCTCGAATCATATATTCACTCCCTAATCTTCTGCATTACTGCTAATCCTTCTATTATTACTATCACTCCTGGATTTGAACTGACAGTAACGTCTCTGTGCTGATGGGGCATGGCAACCTGAACTGATGTACTTACGTACGAAGTTCTGCGTTGCATCTGTCTGTCAGTGCACTCATCGAGTGTGTTGACCCACAATATTTAACATAGCAGTTCCACCAGTCTTCATGAAGTTGATAGTTAGTCACATATCAATACAAATTTAAAAATTCCACTTTATTACCATTTGTAGTACCGACGAAATGTCCATCTGTCAACCAAAGATTCAATCTACTACTCATCAATCGCATGCATAAAATCATCGATCTCATCTTCAAAGCATTGCTTATACATGAGACAGAACTTCTAAATTAACTGAATTGTATAAGGTTTTTATCAAGCAATACTGTAAACTAGTTGTAAACTAACTTACTAATGTCAAACAGAGCTATTCAATTCATGATTTCTTTTTCTTCAATAGCTCTCTCTCTCTCTCTCTGGATTTTAATTAATTTGTAATATTAAAATCTCTAGAAAACATTTAAACAAGTATTATAAAAACTATCACTTTATTTTATACATTTAGATTCCAATTGATATTAACAAAGGTTTAGATAAAAAAGACGCATCACTTATGGCACGTCAATTAGGCTTTTCACATCCAGATGAAGCAGCTGTTTACATTGAACGACTTTATAAACTCTTTGATTCAACCGATTGTACACTGTTAGAAATTAATCCAATCTGTCAAGATCTAAATGGACATGGTATGTTGTTATTTATTGATTTGTCATTTTTACCTCACCTCTACCCCCCGCCTCGCTTTTATCCATCTCCTCTAGCAATTGTTTTTTGTTTTCCTTTGTAATCTCTCCGTTATTTTGTTGAAATCACTAATTGATTTAAGTTAGGTAACTATTGGGAAAGCGGAACTACTGGACAGTCGTTTCGTCCTAGTTTGAGACTCCTCGAGATCTAATCCAGAACCTTCAACCTCATATGAACGCCTTACCTCACGACTCCTTATGCGAAATTCAACGGTGTACAAGTCTAACTTTTCAATAAGTTGTAGACTTACACACCATTGAATCCAAGCTTGGTGGTCTGGAGGTTAGTTAAGCGTTTGTACACGAGGTTAAAGTTCCTGGTTTCGATCCCCATTGTTGGGGGATGTAGACGCACATTACTAAGGAGTCCCAAACGATGGCAAGACAACTGTTCAATGTTTTTAGATTTTCATCGGTTGTCTAGCTTAAATCGGTTCATGACCTCAATAAAATTCAACAACCACCACAACCCGCATATTGATAATTATCATATACTCACTAATGACTTGCCGTAAGCGGGAAGTTCTGTTACTTGTTTATTTTTTTTTCAGTCAATTGGATCCATCAATTTAATGTCAAGACATTGGTTAAAGTACTTAAACTATGAACTATTACATAACAGGTTTAGGACTTAGCTCTATATTCATCTACTTCTGCACTAGCAAACATCACACACCTATATGGATGATAATTGAGTGTACTCAAACCATCTCAGTTTATGAAAACACTAAGTTTGATTGGTCATTGATGTTAGTTTAGCATTATTTATTGTATTAACAAATCGATTAAAATTATCTCTAGGAGTTATCATAGTTCAACAGAGGATCGAGGATCCGACGACACGACATGCTACTCAAATCCGATTATCCCAACACCCATATTGAGTAAAAATAAGAAGACTTGATATGAAGTAGAACATGTATTCTCCACGCATCCAGAAAGTACGAGGTCCGAGTCCAGAAAAGGATAAGGATCCTGGACTAGGGATCCGGGACCGGGTCCTGGTCCTGGTCATGAAACGTTACAGATAATGCGTATTTACACATTTAGGTTGAGTAGGAAACATCATCGAAGTCTGTGAGATTGAAGTGACACTGAAATTCAGGATGACCAGTAAGAAACAACATTGGAGCATGTGACATTGATATCTAGGACGACCATAAAAGTGACCAGTAGGAATTGACCAATAGTTCTCTTAGGATATTGGATGAACATCCTAACAACCAGACATCAAATAATAGTTCATATTTCTCGTTCATTTCATTACAATCTACAAAACAGTTCAATTAGAGAAGAATAAGCGTTAAGTAGTTGTAGATAGTCTTCAAGGAATCCTATACTCCAACCCTTCTCCTTTATCTGAACTTGGGACTGGAAGTAATCCTGGAGAGGCCTCAGGCGGAGTTCATATCTCGTATTAGTTGGCACTTATCAATATGGAGTATATGTAATCTTAACAGGTTGGATAGTGTGGTTCATACTCCTTAGAGAATAATACATAGTTGCGCAGTTAAAGACATCACTAAAACTAAGCTGTTCGGCTGACGACTACTATTCACTATTTAAAATATAATCTATACTTTTATTTGATTTCATGTCTTCTAATTCTAAGATGATATGAGCGATCAAATTTTAAATGATAAAACAGTAAGAAGACTTAATTGATCTGAAAAATGTGATGTATTTGTGTTATATATACATTTCGCATTTGAAATCATGAATCGATCAATGTTAGGCCACCATTAGAAACCTAGAAGCACTGGAAGGTCCTTTCGTCTTGGTATGGGACTCATCAGCAGTGCTCATCCACGACTCCTTGCTCCCCGCAGGATTCGAACCCGGCACCTTGAGCGCGAACGCCTAACCTTTCAGGTTTTTGATGATGGTCTAATATTGATCGATTCGTGATTTCAAATGTGTAACTTAACAGTCTTCACAACCCCGTAATTCATATACATTTTGAACAATCTGGTCACACATACATGTCAAGGCATTTTATATGAAGATGAATAAAAGGTCAATTAAATAAAAGTTCAAATAGACATCAGGTGATAATTGTCAATGAAGGAGAGAGAAAATTAACGTAAAATAGAAAGGATAAGAAAGGGTAGGAAATTGTCACATTACCCCAGGCCATACAGTGGCTTAAAGATTACCAGGGTAAATTCGAGATCATAACAACAAATTGTTTCTATACACATAAGGGGGATTTTAATTTACAAATAGCCAAGGCTTCCATAAACCTCAAAATTCGTCCTACAACGTTTGAAAGCCGTCTTGATGTCAATCTTATTCCCTGTCTCAATTGTGTTTTGCGATCAATGAACATGGTTTTCTGTTTCCCGCGTTTATCAGCCACTTCGGAACATGTTTCATAACCGTTGATTGCAAAGTCCGATTACTCCTCCCTATGTATGTGTGTCCACACAAACATATAAATTGATAAATGCAATAGGATGTTATGTAATCATTCGAGCAACGTTCAGGTTTATGTGGAATCATGGGCTTAGTTTTTTCAATTACAATCAGTTTAGCATCGTAGTATGTTTTCTCTATGGCTGCTTTTAGTCGCTGTCTTAAGATCAGACCATTCGAATTGCCTCTAAATGATAAAGCGATAAAAACATCTTTCTTCTCAGCAGAATGAAAAACTGGATTTAGTCTGAACTGATTTCTACACCTATTTATTGATGAGCTTTAGTGGATAACCATTTGAAATCAATGTTTCAGTCAAGAATTTTGCATCGTCTTCGAATATATCCGTGGTGCAAATTCTTCATGTTCTATTGAAGAGACATTTTGCCAAGCCTCGCTTGTGCTGCAGTGAACAAAAACTGCTTAAATCTAAGTACTACCCAGTCCAGATTGGTTTTCGATAAACTGAATGCTTTATAGTTCCATTCTCCTTTCGACTTAACAGTATGTCTAAAAAAGGCTATTATTTATTACATTCTGCTTCGTGGGTTAGGACAAAGTCGTTCTCAAGACTATTGAAATTATCCAGTAAGTGAGAGACATTAAGTTCTTTATTGCATATAACTAAAATATCATTCATATATCTCCTATACAGAGTAAGCTTATTCTATTAATATGAGCTCATTCCACAGATTTTCAACATATGCAATATAAACATCAGCTAAGACGGATAGATCCCAAAGGACTACGCATAACAACGCTATCAACTTGCTGATATGTCAATATGCTTGCTTAATATCGAATTTTAAAAAGTATCAGCGCCAATAATTCTTTCACATCTTTGTTTTTTCCTTTCTTTTCTATATTTACAACTAGCTGTTTGTATGGATTGTAAAATGAATTTCGATGAGAATGCTGCATTTAGACAAAAAGAAATTTTCGCACAACGTGATTGGTCACAAGAAGATGAACGTGATGTGAAAGCATCAGAAGCTGGATTAAATTATATTGGTTTAGATGGAAATATTGGTTGTTTAGGTAATTTGTGATACTAATAATGATGATGAAATTTATTGTTACTTTACTTACTTACGCCTGTTACTCCCCCCCCCCGCTAATGGAGCATAGGCCGCCGACCAGCAGCATTCTCCAACCGACTCTGTCCTGAGCTTCCCTTTCCAATTCTATCCAATTTTCGTTCATTCTTCTCATGTCTGTCTCCATTTCTGGGCGTAATGTGTTTCTTGACCTTCCTCTTTTCCTTTGACCTTGAGGGTTCCAAGTGAGGACTTGTCTTGTGACACAGTTGACTGCTTTCCATAGTGTGTATGTCCTATCCACCTCCATCGCTTCTTCCTAATTTCCTTCTCAACTGGAATGTGGTATGTTTCTCTCCCACAGTAGATTGTTACTGATGATGTCTGGCTAACGAATCCGAAGTATTTTGCGTAGACAACTGTTAATCAATACTTATAATTATATTTGCTATAGTCATATAAATATTTTTTGTTGTTGTTGTTGTTGTTAAAATCCTGGAACTTAGTCGTTAATACCTGTTGGATGGATACCTCCTCCTACTCAGTATGTGTTGTGAGCTACTTATAAGTAGTATATGTTGTGAGTGTCAACGTAATGTATGGCAGCAGAAGATGGGAGAAGATCAAGAAAGGAAGAGTTAGAACACAATGGAATTTGTATGAAACGCATGAATAGTGACAATGGATTGATGTTTTGCAACAGGAACAGTCCAGTTTGATATGATGGACTGATATTTTGCAAATTAACGATTTACGATATGGTTTTCCTATTTTACAGAGTAACTCTGTAATTTTCGTTAAGTAGAATTCGGTTGCCCTCACCTGTGTTTTCGTTCACTACAAGTAGTCTAGAGGTTAAGCAATTCGCGTGTACGATCGACGTCCTGTGGGTGAAGTTAATACTGAAACTCAATTCCAGAATTCAATCTAGATATTCTTAGGAATTCAATAGAAATGAATAATTATCAAATTAAGTAGCCGTCAGTATGACATTGATAAAATAAATTTAAAAAAAATGAAATTTCATTAGAAAAATACAGAAGAATAAGTCAATTTGAATTCAGAGATATTAGCCCAAAATAAACTGTCAGTCATTCAGTTACAACGTAGAATTTCGTACGTAGGTATGTACGTCAGTTCAAGTTGCCATACTACATAAGAGGTGTAGAAAGGATTTGATTGTGACCACTTTAGTCTCGTGTGTTGTTACGAGTATGAAGGTGGATGTCACTTCCTGGCTACTCACACCGTGGAAGGGTGTTTCTTGAGAAACCTTAAAAGGAAGGTAGATTAGCGTTGGTCTGAACGACCTATGAGCGTGACCGCAGAGTTCAAGGGACAACTGCCTAAGGCCGGTCACGCACGGACTTTTTATGAAAAGTTTTTTAAGTATTAGCTCCGCTCTTAAAAGCCCTTAGTGGGCAGTCCTTACCGCCGGAGACGGAAATCCGTGAGGTAAGGTAAGGTGTGACATTTTTAGGGTCGACCTTTTCTAACCCTTCCTTCCTTGTGAGAAGGCAGCATCACTGCAGATGCTGATTTTCTGAGGAAAACACCTTACTGCTGTCACACCCCTCTGCAGTAAGCAGTACGACTTTGCCTTCAGACCTTGAGTAGCTGCTTTTAGTATCGTCGTTCTCCAATCGACCTGCCTGGCATGGTAGAACCATCAGGAACATATGTTGCAGCCAATATAGCTCGATTGGGTCATCACGATAGGCAAGCCCGACCACCACATCAAGGTAACAGCTACGATCCAGGAAAAATAAACTGTATAAGCAATGTTATATGACTTCATAGAAGCTAAATAATTTATTTTTGTGTTAGAAATAGAGAATGAATACGTTTTGCTTTGATGTTTCATAAATCATTCGAAATAAAACCTACATTTTTTATATAAAGAAGACCATAGTCTGCATTGTCTTTTACAGTCTGTTATTCATTCTGTAAACCATATTGAATAACGAGTTTGTTTGGCAGTGGTGACTTAGTTGTTAGCGTGTTCAACTTTCAACCTGAAAGTCTCTAATGCAAACACCATTCTATCTCCAGTTTGAGTGACTAAATAACATCATTACCTAGCTACCTGGTAATGATCGAATCAACATTCCTCGCTCCTATCTGAAACCCGACTCATTTGATATACGATTTATACTATTATCATAATATTCAGTTAGATTTCTATTGTCATTAGTAGTATGCACAAGAAACTGTCCATTATATATCATTTTGTAAATACAAAGTTATTGATCGATCACACTGATACACTGATAGTAAGTTGTTTGTGAAATAAAAATATAACATATAACCTATTATACTATAAATTCTTTTGGTTTTTTTAGATACAAACATGTCCTTCTATTCTTATTTCTTACCAAGGTCATCGCCACGTATCTAAATTATTCTTCTTTTTTGCATCAATGAAACTGATCGATATTACTCTATAATATTGACCCTTTTTTCTTTTGAATTCCGACAAACCCTTGATTTGTTTGTTGAATTAGATGACATAGTTCTGTTTGATGAAGACGCTGACAAAATACAGAGTCTTCTGACTACCCTAAGCAATCATGCAAGTATGTTCGAGATGCGGTTTTCTCTCTTGAAATGTGAAATGTTGCTTCAGGATTGGCGTGTACCTGTCAGTACCTGAACTAGTGATAGAGAGGGTGCAGTGATTGAGTGTGTTTGACCGCTTCACTTATCTCAGAAGTTTCATCAGTACTGATGGCCTGGTGACTGACGAAGCCCCAACACAACGGATACAGAAGGCTCGACTGGCTTTTGTCAACTTGCGTCACTTATGGCGTCGGCGAGATATCCGTTAGCTTACTAAAGAACTAGTTATACTGCGCAGCAATTCGCGCCATCCTACTGTACAGGTGTGAAATATGGCGAGTTCGAAGAAAGGTTATTCGTAGGCTACTGGTTTTCGATCATAGGTTTCTTGAAAGCATTGCTCGTATACCCTGAGACAATCGAGTTAGCAACGCTGTCATTAAGAAGGGTGGTAAATCAATAGATGAAGTATTGGAACTTCATCAGTTCAGATGGTTGGAACGTGTGTTGTGTATGCCCAACAACCGAATAATTCAACGACTGATATTTTGTGGTGTAGAGGAGTAGGTTGGAAGAAAGCTAGTGGCGGCCAAACCAAAACATGACACAAATCCATGAAGTCACTGAAAACTGTTCGGAGTCATGTTAGTGGATGTAGACTATCAGGTTGGGGTCCGCGAGATAATAGTCACCGATGTTTAGAGACTTTGAATGACATAGCTGAAAATCGTTTACGATGGCACAGATGCATCTCCATTCTTTGTCGTTTCTCTCAAATTCTAATCTTCTGAATTCCTCATCACCTTTATCTTTCTACCCTAATCTCTTTGATTACCGCTAATACTTGCACTACCTCTACCACTATGGGGTTTGAGCTGACAGTTGCGTCTCTCTCTGTGTGTGCTAATGGCAACTTGAACTGATGTGTGTACACATCCAAAGTTCTACGTTGTATCTGGCTGACTGACTGACTGACTTATATAACAGTGTTGTATATCGACGAACTTATCACTTTATACAAAAATCAATAACTTTTACAATTAATTCTCTCCCTTATTCATCCATTGAATTTCAGTGAATGGAGCTGGTTTAGCTATGGCTACAATGGATTTAATTCAATTACATGGTGGTAGTCCAGCAAATTTTCTTGATGTTGGCGGTGGAGCAACAGTCAGTCAAGTGACTGAAGCATTTCGTTTAATTATGTCTGATTCTAAAGTCAATGCTATATTAGTAAATATATTCGGTGGTATTATGCGTTGTGATGTGATTGCACAAGGTATTGTCGCTGCTGCCACTGAATTAAATATTAAAATACCAATTGTTGTTAGATTACAAGGTGAGTGAGTGAGTGAGTGATTTTTAATTTTTTTTATTAGAATTTTATAAATGAACTAGGAAAATTTATGAGGCGGGAGTGGAGGGGAGGGTAAGAGGGGGTTAAAGCAAACAGGGTGTTGAACATTTGTTTTATTACACATTTGAAATATTAACAGTAGTTGTCGACTACCTGGTTGGGGTCCGCGAGATGATAATAATCGGTGGTTAGAGACCTTGAATGACATGGCTCAAAACTGTTTGCAATGGCGCCGGTGCATTTATTCTTTGTGTTCTCTCAAATCCTAACCTTCTGGATTCTTTAACACCTCTGGTTTCGTCTTTCTAAACTTATCTCACTGAATCTGATTTCTTGAATAATATTTTCTAATCATAACCTCTCCGATTACTTCTAATACCTTTACTATCTCTTCTACTAATGGATTTGAATTGACAATTATATCTCTGTGCTGATGTGGTATGGCAACATGAACTGATGTACTTACGTACGACGTACTACGTTGCATCTGACTGACTGACTGACTTTGAAATATTAAATGTTACAATAATCCCTATCTATACCATTGAATCTTACTTACTTACTTACTTACGCCTGTTATCCCCAATGGAGCATAGGCCGCCCACCAGTTTTCGCCAACCAACTCTGTCCTGGGCTTCCCTCTCAAGTTCTGTCCAGTTTTTGTTCATTCCTCTCATATCTTTCTCTATTTCTCGGCGTAGTATGTTCTTCGGCCTTCCTTTTTCCTTTTGCCTTGAGGGGGGTTCCATGTAAGGGCTTGTCTTGTGACACAGTTAGGTGCTTTCCACAGTGTGTGTCCTATCAACCTCCAGCGCTTCTTTCTAATTTCCTTCTCAACGGGAATCTGGTTTGTTCTCTCCCACAGTAGATTGTTACTGATGATGTCTGGCCAACGAATCCGAAGTATTTTGCGAAGACAACTGTTAATAAACACTTGTATATTCTGGATGATGGCTTTGGTAGTTCTCCAAGTTTCCGCTCCATAGAGTAGAACTGTCTTGACATTTGTATTGAAAATCCTGATTTTGGTTTTGGTTGAAAGTTGTTTGGAGTTGCAGATATTTTTCAACTGTAGAAACGCAGCCCTTGCTTTGCCGATCCGCGCCCTCACATCTGCATCGAATCCACCTTGAATCATTGAATCTCATTGAACTGTAATTTATCAATTCATGAAAAAAATGTTTATTATTATTAATTCAAGTTGGGATTTTTGTTGAGATTTGTTATTCTTTGGATATATATATATATATAAATCGTTAGTTCAGTTAAGAAAGTTAAAAATTACGGAGATAACTTCATCAAACTCAATTGGATGACACAGGATGTTTCAAGGCACACCACAATGTGGTGAGATGCAATGATTATACTTTAACTACTAGCTAAGATCACTTACTACTTACATGTCGTTATCTGGGCATCTGATCATCTATCTATGATTATTTATGATTTGTATTATTATTATACAACTTTCAAGGAAATATGATTCCCTACATAGTTTCAATATCCATCTCCTATTCATAGTTACTTACGTACTCCTGTTACCACCCCTTGTTATAAATCTCTCTTTGTGAACCCAGCTATTCCTATCGCTTAGTATTCTCTGACAACAAATACACTTGACAAGTCCACAAATCAGAAGACGGTTGAACAGGAAAAAGATTATATTCCAAATAGCAAGATTAAAAATGGAAGTAAGAAGCCGAAGCGAAGACGAAATAGGAACAACATTAGTCTTTTTATAGTTTGTGCATGAGAAGCTTCTAGAATGTACTCCACGTCTTGGCTAGCACTGATCGGATTAGATTTAGCCAATCAGTGTGTAACTAACAACATGAGAAACTTCTAGAATGCTCTCCAAGTATATCAACCAGGCACTGATCGGATAGGAATTAGCCAGTCAGCGCGCAGCTAATACAGTCAGTCATGCTTTAATCCAATCTATGTCCCGCTAACACAATAATTGCCTCATTATTTAACATTGATCAAACTTCACGAGTCATAGATTCTTATGAGAGAACTCTGAAGCTGATCACCTCTTGAGCACATATTTACAAATATACATATATGCATTACGGGGTCGTGAAGATTGTTAAGTCACACATTTTTGAAAGCATGAATCGATCGATGTTAGACCATCATTAGAAACCTGGAAGCACTGGACGGCCGTTCCGTCCTGGTTTGGGAATCCTCAGCAGTGCGTATCCACGACTCCTGCACCCCGCAGGATTCGAACCCGCGACCTTCGGTACTGTAGGCGAACGCCTAACCATTGGACCACTGAGCCGGCATCTAACGGTGTTAAATGTCTAACTTGATCAATTCACAGAGTTGCGCAACCTTATACACAGTCTTCGGTGAGCACTGCTTCACTGCACACCCGAACAGGTTGTACTCACACTGGTCACGTCTTCCCACTAGAACTCATGGGAGAAGATTCCTCACGAAGCTAGTCACTAGTGAGGAGTCCCATACCAGGTAGAAACGGCCGTCTTTCAGTGCTTCCAGGTTTCTAATGATGGTCTAACGTTGATCGATTCATGATTTCAAAAATGTGTAAATATATATATATATATTTATATATATCTGTGTTATTCATTTCCAGTTGTTTTTTGTGATAAGTAAAAGTAAACATTTGCTAAGAACAATCATCGGGTACCTTTTAATTAATAATAATGTTATTATTATTGTTTTTCTGTTTACTTTTTTCTTTATTTCTTTCTGTTAAAAATCATGTCATATATTTTTACGTATATATATAGGTACTAAAGTTGCAGATGCTAAAGCAGTTCTTGCTACAAGTCATATGAAAATTGCAGGTTGTAGTGATTTAGATGATGCTGCAAAAATGGTATGTTCAATCTCTTATTATTATTATTATTATTATTATTATTATTATTATTATTATTATTGGAAGCACTGGACAGCCGTTCCATCCTGGTATGGGACGACTATTCATCAGCAGTGCATGTCCACCACTTGTACTACTCACAGGATTCAAACCTAGAACTTACGGTTTTGCGTGTGAACGCCTAATCTTTGGTCTACTAAGTCAGCAGCATCTAACGATGTTAATGTCTAACTTCGAACGATTCTTCACAGTCTTGTATGTCTTCGGTAAGCACTGCTTCACACACGAATAGGATAAAAACTCAATTGGTCACAATTTCTCATTAGAACTAAGAAAAATTTCCTCAAGGAGTTAGTTAGTCACTAGTGAGCCAGGTAATTGTTTACATTATGTGGGGTTGTGGAGATTAGTGAGTTAGTTACATTTTTATTTTCATGAATCGATCAATGTTGAACCATCACTAGAGAAATATGTGAGGTGCAGGAGTCGTGCACCTGGTGCACTGCTGCACCTGGTGACTGACGAAATCTCAGCTCGGATACAGAAGGCTCGATTGGCTTTTGCCAACCTGCGTCACTTATGGCGAAGGCGAGATATCTGTTTGCTGACTAAAGGACCAGTGTACTGTGCAGTAGTTCGCTCCGTCTTACTTTATGGCTGTGAAACATGGCCAGTGAGAGTAGAAGATATTCGTCGGTTATTTGTTTTCGATCATAGGTGTCTTCGAAACACTGCTCGTATATCGTGGGACACCCGAGTGAGCAACGCTGTTATTAGGAAGCAAGTACTAGGTAAGGATTGCAGATCAATAGATGAAGTAATGAACCTTCATCATCTGAAGTGGTTGGGACATGTGCTGCGTATGCCTAACCACCAACTGCCTCGTCGAACTTTGTTTTGTAGTGTAGGAATAGGTTGGAAGAAAGTTAGGGGCGGCCAAACCAAAACATGGCAGAAATCCATGAAGTCATTGACGAGTGGACTGAGTCATGTCGGTAATTGTCGACTACATGGTTGGGGTCCGCGAGATGATAATAATCGATGGTTAGAGACCTTGAACGACATGGCTCAGAATCGTTCGCAATGGCGCCGGTGCATTTATTCTTTGTGTTCTCTGAAATCCTAACCTTCTGGGTTCTTTAACACCTCTAGTTTTGACTTTCTAACCTTTCTCACTGAATCATACTTCTTGAATAATATCTTCTAATCCTAACCTCTCCGATTACTTCTAATACCTTTACTACCTCTTCTACTATTGGGTTTGAATTGGCAATTACATCTCTGTGCTGATGTGGTATGGCGACATGAACTGATGTACTTACGTATGAGGTTCTACGTTGCATCTGACTGACTGACTGACTGCTGCACCATTACGAAACGGTAGTCTAGTGCTTCAAGGTTTCTAATGCTGGTCTAACATTGATCGATTCATAATTTCAAAATGTAACTCAATAATCTTCACAACCCTATAATGCAAATCTTTAGTTTGATTCTTAATTATATGATATAACAGTCTATATAATGAGAACAATCATTCAGATTGCGGTTATAAACTTTGTTTGAAGAAAATGTATGAATCGAAGAATTTGCCTTCATCGCACAACTTGTCCACTCATTGTAATTCATCAAGAAGTACACGAAAACCTATTTTACATGATGGAGTATCGTTCTCTGAACTGGATGTTATTTTATTTGTGGAGCTTTCATTTCACTTCTGGACAACAACATCATTGTGACACAAACTTTAGATAGAAATTGAAGTATTTAAATTTGTCCACTTATGACTCGTAGTTTATGTCCTGTTGACCTTGATCTTGACTGGTTGTTACTTACTGACCTGTTGTAACCTGGCGTTTATTTTAATTGTATCCAATCCTCTTTGATCTGTTTCTTGATCCTATGAAAGCTTCACAGTCGAAATATCCAGCTTTAGAGAATGAAACTGCATCATAATCATCGATCCAACTGAGCTACAAATTCTCTTCACAGTGTGTGTTACATGAGACATGACAGTTAACAACCAAGATCTAATTAGTACAAATGCCTACGACATTTAATTTAATAGGGTTGCTCAGTTAAATTAATAATAATATTATGTTTCTGACATATAAGGTTCACACCATTTTACAGACATGATCAATATGAGATAACAAGATTTCCAACATGTGATTACAAATAGCGTTAGGTCAGTCAGTCAGTTACCACGTAGAACTTCGTACATACGTATATCGGTTCACACTGCCATACCACATTAGCACAGAGACACAATTCTAAATTCATTTCTTGTGATAGTAGAGGTAGTAGTGTAGTGAAGGAGAACACAGGTGAGGGCAACCGAATTGTATTTAGCGAAAATTACAGAGTTAATTGGTAAAAATAGGAAAGCCATATCGTAAATCGTTAATTTGCAAAATATCAATCCATCATCAATCCATTGTCTGACATTTCACTGTTCAAGCGTTTCATACAAATTCCATTTCTTGATCCTTCCCCCATCTTCTGCTGCCAGACATTACGTTGACACTCACGTCATATACTACTTAACGATAATCAAACCAAGAAAATATTTCAGGAGCAACTAGAAAGAGAGTTAAGCAACCATGCAAGCGATTCCCATCCAGAAGCAGGTTGGTATGATATCAAAAAGGCTGTGGAAACAGCAGTGATATCTGCTAGGAAGGTAAACCATGAGGCTAGGATGAAGCCGTGGATTTCAGTCGCATCCACCGAACTGATGGATGCTCGAAAACGCATCCCACCTGACTCTGAGCATGATGAAGAGCGTAGTCAGCTTAGGCGCAGACTTATAAAAAGTCTGCGTAACGACCGCGAACAGTGGTGGGTGGCGAAAGCAAAAGCGATGGAAAAGGCAGCGGCGATAGGCAACACTAGACAACTTTTCCGCCTTATCAAAGAAACCGGTATTAAGAACCCGAATGTGAGTGAGACTATCTCGGAAAAGGATGGTCTTATTATCCATTCTCAATCCAGGAGGCTGGATCGATGGGCAGAACACTTTAGGGATCAGTTCAACTGGCCACGAGCCACTCTTCAGTTACCCACGATCTCCAGTCATCCTGAATGGCAAATCGACGTAAGTCCCCCTAGTCTTTATGACGTTGAGAAAGCGTTAGGAAATCTGAAACGAGGACGAGCTGCAGGTCCTGATAGACTGACCCCTGAGATATTCAGGGATGGTGGTCCAGTTTTAGCAGCTAGATTGACTGAGATCTTAGGTAAAATCTGGGAACTGGACGTAATCCCATCCGACTGGTCTCAATCCTTGATTGTCCCAATCTATAAGAAAGGACAAAAGTCTTCTTGTGACAATCACAGAGGAATAAGTCTAACTAATATAGTATCTAAAATATTGGCCTCAATAATACTTCGACGCTTAACGAAAGCTCGTGAAGAGCAGACTCGAGAAAACCAGGCTGGTTTTCGACCTGGACGTGGCTGTATAGACCACGTCTTCACACTCAGACAGGTCCTGGAACATAGACACACATTTAGGCGTCCTACAATAGTTGTTTTCCTAGACCTTAAGGCGGCATTTGACTCTGTTGATCGTGAGGTTCTGTGGCAGTGTCTGTCATTGAAAGGTGTACCACAGAAGTACATTAACCTTATACAAGCTCTTTACTCGAACACCACTGGTCGGGTGAGGGCTTATGGCGAACTGTCACCGGAATTCTCTACATCAAGTGGTGTCCGTCAGGGATGTCCACTTTCTCCATTCTTGTTTAATTTTATCATAGACATGCTCCTAGACATAACATTATCCTCGTCTGAATTTTCAGGAGTAGACCTTCTTCCAGGTGGCTCGCTTATTGACTTAGAATATGCCAATGACATTGTCCTACTTGGTGAAGACGCTGACAAAATTCAGAGTCTTCTGACTACCCTAAGCAACAATGCAAGCATGTTCGGGATGCGGTTTTCCCCCTCGAAATGCAAAATGTTGCTTCAAGACTGGGTTGCATTGGCACCTGAACTAGTGATAGGGAGTGAAGTGGTTGAACGTGTAGACCGCTTCACTTATCTTGGGAGTCTCATCAGTGCCGATGGCCTGGTGACTGACGAAATCTCAGCTCGGATACAGAAGGCTCGATTGGCTTTTGCCAACCTGCGTCACTTATTGCGTAGGCGAGATATCCGTTTGCTGACTAAAGGACGAGTGTACTGCGCAGTAGTTCGCTCCGTCTTACTTTATGGCTGTGAAACATGGCCAATGAGAGTAGAAGATATTCGTAGGTTACTGGTTTTCGATCATAGGTATCTTCGAAGCATTGCTCGTATATCGTGGGACACCCGAGTGAGCAACGCTGTTATTAGGAATCGGGTGCTAGGTAGGGATGGCAGATCAATCGATGAAGTATTGAAACTTCACCAGTTGAGGTGGTTGGGACATGTGTTGCGTATGCCCAACCACCGACTGCCTCGAACAGCTTTGTTTTGTAGTGTAGGAGTAGTTTGGAAGAAAGTTAGAGGCGGCCAAACCAAAACATGGCAGAAATCCATGAAGTCATTGACTAGTGGACTGAGCCATGTCGGTAATTGTCGACTACCTGGTTGGTGTCCGCGAGATGATAATAATCGATGGTTAGAGACCTTGAATGACATGGCTCAAAATCGTTCGCAATGGCGCCAGTGCATTTATTCTCTGTGTTCTCTCAAATGCTAATCTTCTGGGTTCTTCAATACCTCTAGTTTTGACTCTCTAAACTTTTCTCTCTGAATCATACTTCTTGAGTAGTATCTTCTAATCCTAACCTCTCCGATTATTTCTAATTCCCTTACTACCTCTTCTACTATTGGATTTGAATTGACGATTACTTCTCTGTGCTGATGTGGTATGGCAACATGAACTGATGTACTTATGTACAAAGTTCTACGTTGCATCTGACTGACTGACTGACTTATAAGTAGCGCGCACCACAAATATCCATAGTTCTATTGTGCAAAATATCCTCAAATTATTGATTATTTTTCTTCTGAACTTATTTTTATCCGTGTTGATATAATTTTTCAGGCTGTTAAATTGGCCAATATTGTTCATTTGGCTCGTGAAGCTTCGATCAATGTGAATTTCGAATTGCCTTATTGAATGAATGATGAATCAATAATTATAATAATCAGTAGAAATATATTGAATTGTAATGAATAATACAATAGCCCTGTCTATATTATTATTATTATTAACTTATTTTTAAACACTCCTCATCTAGTCTTCGCCTTTTTCGTTTGTATTCTATTCAAGTCCTATTTGACACGATCCCATTAGTATCAAAAAACATGTGTTTGTAAATGTCTGTCTGTCTGTCTATCTATCTACCTCTCTATCTCCTTACGTGTGTCTATGTGTGTGTGTGTGTACAATGTGTTAATTAAACATCGATTTTGTCAGAGAACAATTATTCCTCATTTATTCATTTCTTTTGTTTTGTTTACTTTTCTTTTTCGATGAGGTTATTAGAAAATTTCTAGATTAAACAATAATTTGTTTGCTTGTATATTGTTTTTTTTATTCTGGTGATGATCAGTTAAACTGTTGTACCACATTCATTGCCATGTATTCGTGAACACACACACACACATGCACACACCATATATATATATATGTTTTGAAACCACGACTCGATCAACGTTAGACCACCATTAGAAACCCGGAAGCACTGGACGGCCGTTTCATCCTAGTATGGGACTCCTCAGCAGTGCGCATCCACGACTCCTGCACCCCGCAGGATTCGAACCCAGGACCTCCGGTATTATGCGCGAACGCCCTAACCGTCCAGTACTTGCAGGTTTCTAATGGTTGTCTAACATTGATCGATTCATGGTTTCAAAAAAAATGTGTAACTTAACAATCTTCACAACCCCGTAATGCATATATATATATATATATATATATATATATATATGCCCAACCCTCATCCGGGCTTGGGACCGTTAGTAACCCTAGAAGGGCTTGAGGCGGAGTTATATGTATATATATATATATATATATATATATATATATATATACTCTTTCTTGCATTCACATACCATTCAGCTTTAATGCCACAAGGATATATTAGCGTTTATAGTTTTCAGTTGCGCTGAAATTGTGTAAGTTTTGATGATAAATTTTTTTAATGTAACTGGTATATTTGCGGTATTTAAGATGAAACTTTGATACTGGTGAACGGAACATATAAGTAATATTCATTACGGGGTTGTGAAGATTGTTAAGTTACACATTTTTGAAACCATGAATCGATCACCGTTAGACCACCATTAGAAACTTGGAAGCACTGGGCGGCCGTTTCGTCCTGGTACGGGACTCCTCAGCAGTATGCACCCACTGGCTCAGTGGTCTAACGGTTAGGGCGTCCGCGCACAATACTGAGGGTCCTGGGTTTGAATCCTGCGGGGTGCAGGAGTCGTGGATGCGCACTGATGAGGAGTCCCATACCAAGACTTGACGGCCGTCTTGCAGTGCTTCCAGGTTTCTAATGGTGGTCTAACATTGATCGATTCATGGTTTCAAAAATATATAACTAATAGTAACGATAATAATAGGATAAGCTGAATTATTCTTCTGCGGCCTTCCAGCCCAGGTAACTAACTAACTAGAGGAAGAAGTTCAGAATAACCCGGAAATATGTATAATCCACATACAGCCCGAAGTGGATGAATATAAAATGCAGTTAAGAATTCAATATCTAAGCATTCAGTTGTTAGAAGACGTTTTATATTTAATGATCAAATTATGGTGCTGGTGCTTGGTTCTCTGAGCCGGGTGTTTTGGTTGTGAAGCTTTCATTGTTCTTCTGTTGAACAACATCATCAGCAGCACAAACTTCAGATAGAAGTGAAGCTTTCGAATTTCTCCATGTTTGACCTGTAGCTTGTTCTGCTAACCTCGATCTTGATTAGTTACTGTTGACCTTTAAGCTATCGTTGTTTGCACTGATTGGTTGATAAATTGGGTCAATGTCGATGTGTTTGTTGATTGCTGATTGACCTGAGTGCTAAGCTTCTAAAAATTCCCTAGTGTCCTTTGTCCTCACCCTACCCAGTATTTCCACATTGTTCCAATCGAATGTGTGTCCATAATTGTCGGTGTGTATTGATATAAGCGATGCGTTGTTCTGGCGTTTGACTGCTAATTGATGTTCACGTAAACGGAGCTGAAGAGGCCGTCCACTCTGTCCTATGTAGTATTTTTCTCAGTCTGAGCAATTTATTTTGTAGATAGTTTTTGGCTTTTCTTCCTTTGTCATTTTGTCCTTTGGTCTACAACATAGGATTGATTGAAATGATTCTGTTGGTTTATTATGTGCCACACACCTATTCCAAATGGTTTCAGTAGTCGTGCTGTATGCTCCGATATGTCTTTGATGTATGATGGCAGGATGATCCGTTTATTGGTTCCTGTGCTTGATTTCGCTTCTGATGATGATTTCGTTTGATGTTTTTTGATGAAGTAGCGTGGATAGCCGTTCTTTTGGAAGATAGTCTGTCACTAGGTGTTTCTCCTCGTTTGTGCTGATGATGATGTAGGTCAGAAGAACAATGAAAGCTCCACAACCAAAACAACCAGCTCAGAGAACCAAACACCACCACAATCATCCACCTGAGCTACAAATCTTCACCATCTCAATGATCAAATTAAGTAATCTGTCGAATAAAATTTCTGTGATATTATTGTAGTGAACGAGAACACAGGTGGGGCAACCGAATTGTATTTAACGAAAATTACAGAGTTACTCAGTAAAATAGGAAAACCATATCGTAAATCGTTAATTTGCAAAATATCAATTCATCATATCGAAATGGACTGTTCCTGTTGCAAACAACATCAATCCATTGTCACTATTCATGCGTTTCATACAAATTCCATTGTGTTCTAACTCTTCCTTTCTTGATGTTCCCCCATCTTCTGCTGCCAGACATTACGTTGACACTCACGTCATATACTACTTATATGTAGCTCACACCACAATGTCACTCTTGAATGACACTTGTCAAGTCATATAAAACTAGGTGTTCGGCTGTGGATTGTAAAAATAATTAATTTCAGTTAACATATTGTTAAGAATTTGCAAGATGTTGAATTAGTGAAAAATATACTCACTCATATACGTGTGAATAAGATGATTACGTGGGTGTAGGGAACCATAAGATGAAGTGATATTTCGTTGTGATGTCTCTTAAGTTTAAGATTACAGTTAATAATGTTTTGAGGTTATAATTAAAATTGAATTAAGATAAGAATTAGTACTGAGTTTAGGGTAAAATGGTTTAAGAATTAGGACTAAGTATAGTTTTGATGCTGAGCAATATCTTCTAAAGTCTAATAATCATTCGGACGCCAACCAGGCATACTACACTTATCAACACAGTTCAGTCTAACAATTGATGTCACAATCTGATTTGCTCAACCTTCGATTTTTTTTCCAGCTGATTCATAACAGCCAACATTACGCATCAACGTAGGTGGTAGTTGGGTATGCACAATACATATCCTAGTCATAGTCGATGAGAATTTGTCCATTGAACTACTTGCGGCGTAGGCGAGATATCAGTCTGTTGACCAAGGGACGAGTTTACTTTGCTGCAGTCCGTTCCATCCTACATCATGGGTGTAAAACGGGACCACTGAGAATAGAGGGTACTAATAGTTAATCATAGGCGTCTTTGAAGCACTAGTCATGTATCCTGAAACAATCAAGTAAACAATGCCTGAATTAGTAATAGGGTACTAGATAAATATGATAACAGTGGATCTTCATCAGCTGAGGTTATTAGGACATGTGTTACATATACTCAACCACCGCCTACCTGGAAAAGCGATATTGTCTGGTGTAAGCTGGAAAAAAATCCAGTAGCGATCAAACTAAAACATAGCACGAGGTCACTGTCAATTGCATTGAGCTATGGTGATAAGTGTAGACCACCTGGTTGGTGTTAGGATATTCATCCAATATCCTAAGAGAATTATTGGTCAATTCTGATTGGTTAATTCCTACTGGTCAATTGTATGATCGTTCTAGATATCAATGTCACGTGCTCCAATGTTGTTTCTTACTGGTCGTCCTGAATTTCGATATCATTTCAAATGTTGTTTCTTATTGGTCGTCTTAACTGTCAATGTCGCTGACCTCGATGATGTTCTCTATTAATCCTAAATGTATAAATACGCATTATTTGCAACGTTCTATCACCAGGATCCGGTCCCGGATTCTTAGTCCGGGATCCTGATTCTCTTCTGGACTCGGACCTCGTACTTTCTGAATGCTTGCTTGTAGAATACAGGTTCTACTTCATATGAAACCTTCTTTTATTCAATAGGGGTTGGGATAATCGGATTGAGTAGCATGTCGTGTCGCCGGATCCTCGTTTTCCGACTAGGTAAACTCGTAATAGTTCAAGCATATCAAAATGACGTGTTTACGTGCACTCGTAACAGTTGGGGTCCCTATTTATTGATATATTTCAAAAAATTATTGATTATTTAAAAGTGCAAATTGTATTGATTTTCAAACCAGTCAGTCACATGGTATATACCACTTCTAACGGACTAGACAACATACATGAGCGATTTAATATCATAACAGAAAGTACAATCTATATGTATGTCTATTATAAATATTCTGGATAGTGGTCAGCTTCAAGATCCAGAACCTTACGTTTTATTCTGTTGAAAGCTAGTAGTCATACAACAGATTATTCGAACTAAGAATTAATTATTCACGTCACCGTCATATTCCATCAGCTGCCAATGATCAATTATTTATTTATCTTGTCAACCAATCAGAAACCAAGTTTTAAGGTCACTATGAGGACGATATAAAATGCAAGATCATGATTGAATTCAGTGATTCTAATCTAGTAGTATATCATTCAGTTTAATTTCAATTCAATTGGATATCTCTATTTAGTATGATAATTCCTGTTTGTAGTTAATCTTGTGATAAATTCGTTCAGTATAAAACCTTTGCCAGACACAATCAGTAACAACCTGCAGTGGGAAAGCACAAACCAGATTCCAGTGGAGGAAGAAATCAAGAAGAAGCATTGGAAGTGGATAGGACACACATTGCGGAAATCATCATCAACTGCGTCATAAGACAAGTCTTCACTTGAAATCCTCAACGTCAAAGGAAAAATGGAAGGCGAAGGAACACATTACGCCGAGAAGTGGAGACAGATATGAGAAAAATGC